GATCCAGTATAATTAATTTCTGCTGGGATATATTCGCTGTGGGGACAATCTGTCTGGCACAGAAAATATATTGTAATGTACAAAAATACTTGCAGCATGAAATTTACGTGTGGAGTTTGAAATGTAGATCTTAATGTTGTTTTCTCGTTTTGTCCATTATTTTCTGCGACGCCGATCAATTCCGTTTATTGTCAGGTTTAGGGAGTATATCCGTCATACTTTTCTTTCTCTCTCTCTCTAGAGGGAGGGAGGAGAAAAGACGGGAGAGAGAGAGAGAGGGAGTGGAGGGTAGGGAGGGGAGGGAGGGAGGGAGGGAGGTGAGAGACGAGAGGAGAGAGAGAGGGGAGGAGGGAGAAAGAGGCCACACACGAGAGAGGAGGGAGTTGGAGGGAGGAAGAGAGAGAAGAGGGAGGAGGGAAGGAGTATAAGTAGGGAGAGAGAGAGAGAGGGAGGGATGGGTTATTGGGAGGGAGAGAGAGAGAGGGAGGGAGGGAGGTCGAGAAAAGAAGGGAGATGAGAAAGAGGGAGGGAGTTGCGTGGAGGGAGAGGAGAGAGGGAGGTTGAGGGAGGAAAGAGGGAGAGAGAGAGAGAGGGAGGAATGGAAGGAGGAGGAGAGAGAGAGAGAGAGGGAGGAGGAGGGGAGGAGAAAGAGAGAGAGAGAAAAGAGAGAGAGAGAAAGAGAGAGATGAGAGAAGAGAGAGAAGGAGAGAGAGAGGTGAAAGAAAGAGAGAGAGAGAGAGAGAGATAAGTAGAGTAGAGAGTCTATTTTAAGAAACGGTTTCACGTCAAACTTTGAATTGGAAAGCTCTATCCTCTCAACGTTTGCACTTTTCTGCAGACATTAAAAAATACTCAACCAACAGGCATTTAAACGAAGAAAAGAGAAATTCTGCTCTTATTTACTCACGCGCCTAAAGACACACAAGACCGTCAGTGCGCGTGCGCGCGAACATTAGATGGCAATCACACAGGGAAGTCAGCGCTTTTGCTTTTCGAAACCAAACACCTCCGCGATACCGACCCGTGTTTATTATGCGACAATTATCAAGCCCTAGAACGGAGCCTCTCGTAAATAGGAGTACGGGGTCGGTGAACAGAGCACCCGATCGACTCAGGAACGGATCGCCACTTCCCCCCTGCCGAGCGTCTCTTGTGGGCTCTTTTTATGAACCGCGAGCCGCAGGCGGAATGAACTGCCACAGGAATCGCGGCCTTGGGTGTCGGCACTCATCACGGCGAAGCATCGTATAAATTATCGGATTACGCTCACGAGTGGACGCGCGGCCGTTTTTATTAATGAGCCAAAGCAGCGCGCTCTGCAGGTCAACCTGTAATTACGTCTCTGCCCGCGCATCTTCTGTTTGCTGCGAGCCACAAGGCGGGATGTTTCCCAAAAACTTGTTTACGATTTTTAATAGACTGATGGAGTGATGTGAAATGTTTCTGTTCGTCAGATTTCGGCCGAGTCTGCAGCGTGGCGCCCCCCCGCCCCGCTACCCGTCCCGCCCGTCCCGCACCGAGGGACACGCGAGGCGGCGTACATAGCATAGATGGGAGGAGAGAGAGAAGAGAAAGATGAGGAGAGAGAGGAGAGAAAGAGAGAGAGTAGAGAGAAGAGAGAGAGCTGAGAGAGAGCGAAGAGAGAGGAGCAGGGAGAGAGAGAGAGAGACGAGAGAGAGAGTAGAGAGAGAGAGGAGAGAGAGAGAGAGAGAGAAGAGAGAGATAACTTAGAGTGGAGAGAGAGAGAGGTGAGAGACGAGAGAAAGTAAGAATAAGGGGAAGAGAGAGAGAGAGAGAGGAGAGAGAGATGAGAGAGACGGACGATAGAAAAGAGGTAGAGAGAGGAAGAGAGGAGAGT